AATACATTACTCAAAACTGCTGACAGATATTTAGATAATTGGTACGTTGGAGCATTTATGTTACTAACTATCGGTCGTAATGGAATGTTTTCCTTATAAAGTTTTGGTAGGCCATATATAAATGGTGCTCGGCCATTGTTGCAAGCTGGTGTTCGTTTCAAATTATCGATTATGAATTTCTTTTGATGCCATAAATTTATTATTTTATTCAGTTTTGTTTGTATATTGGTAGTAAGATCTTTTTTTTCCGGTTTATATGTTTTTATATCATTTATTAAGCCTAGCATTTCGTTTTGTATTCACTTTTTAACATAATTACAGTTTTGTTACATTTATCTGCTGTTAGTATGCAAATGTTTGTTTCATTTATCAGTCCATTAACATGACATGCCATACTTTTATTTGTGTTTTGTTTGACCTTTGAAATTTGTTAAGATGTTCCACAATTTATTTCTGATTGTCCTGACTAATCACGCCTAATTAATCTTAGAATGTTTTAAAGTGTTGCAATTGTGATGTATATTAGTGTGTGATATGATGAAGCTGTTGACGAACTGTGATTGTTTTTTAAATTAATGAAAACATTTTTTTACTATCTGTTATTTCAGACAAACTGATGATGGTGGAAAACACCGAAACGTATTTTAATTGATAAATAGACAATAAATGACTGAAACACAGTCAGGAAAGTATGTACAATGATTGGATTTTGTCTTAAATTTAATACTGGGCCCGACTTACCTTAATGCGTTTCGGATCGATTCTCCAAAGTTTTCCTATATTCTTTGCAGCGTCACTCTCATGATCCATAAGTCGGATGCTGGATATGTTTGAAACCACTTCATTGAACTCTGACCAGTCTAAAGAATGCGCATCCTAGAAAAGGCAGCAAAGAAGACAACATCAAAAAATTGTGCTCATTAATTGAAAATTGATTTTTAAGACTTACCAAATCTGTTAAAATATAGCTGTGGTAATCCTTGAGGAGCCCCACTTCTTTGGCTTGCCGGAAAATGTCTAATATACGATCAGCCTTACAGTCCAATATGAACCTCGTATCTAAGGTTTTTTTGATTTGTTTCAACACCGTCCTGCAAGCAAATGAAAAAGTGTGTTAACAGTGTTTCAGTTAATATTTTTTGTTTAGAAAGCCGCAGCAATAAAAAACCAGACCAAAATCACTCGCAATTGAAAAATCGATTAAAGGTTGATCAAAACACGCACAAAAGATACCGGCAGGAAAAGGCCCTTAAGCCCTCAGCTGGTAACAGTGAAAACAAATTTCTGGTGCTAAAACTAAATTCTAAATGATGATAAAATCAGGATAGAAAAATTGCTGAAGAAATCCGTTTGAGTTATTGAGGAAAATTGCTCCAAATGTGCTTACTAAACCTCCCAAAGGCTTTCAGTTTGAGAAGCATTCGTCTTCCTTGAAACATCGATTTTTCACCGCGCTGTCTTTATAATTCAAGTCTAGCAGACAGTTGCAAAATGGAAACTGTAACTGATTCCCCTGAAATGGGATAATTTCGCCTTCCCTCAAACGCAAATCGTTTATTCTGGTTAAGAAAAAACTGAGCAAATTCCCAAAAAAATATTGAAAATCTCACCGATAATCCGGCCCAGATCCTAAACAGATAAAGGCTATGGACAAATCGTTCGGTTTCCTCTGTTTGAGTGTCTCTCGGAGCCTCAAAAGACTGTCCTCGTTTTCGTACATGACTGTGTAGGTTTTCCAGTCGTTTTCCCGGACGAGGGCGGCCAAAGCGCGGGACAAAGCGTCCGAGTTCGGACGCAAGTTGAACACCGATGTGGCTGCTTCTTCTTGAGGATTCCAACTATTCTGGAAGTACGGGATTTGCAAGCTTGCAGCTACTGACTGGATGATTTCGTTGTTTTCTGGCGATTCTGGACCGAATATTGCACTCACTCCATTGCGAATCAGGTCGCACACTGGAGCATGAAGATCAAATGTTAAAAGCAATGCTCTCTTCACTGTTGGGGAAAATTTGTTACCGAATTGTCCAGCTTCAAAGGAGCTTTCTTTGCTCAACTTGATGATGTGCTCAGTCACTTGATACGTGGTTTTGGCCCTGAGAATTTTCAGTGTGTTCTTTACTGCAAACGTTGTTTCTTCCACATACTCGTCATCGTCAAGGAAAATGGCTACAAAGTGGCAAAATCCTAGACAATTTTCTAGAAACTCTGGCAGGGTGGCAAAAACACGCATTTCCACTGGGATTTTGGTTGTTTTATACAAGCGGAAGCTCACATTATCACCATTTATGACCAAAAGAAAACTATCGCTGCCAGCTAGGGATCCAATAAATTCTGCTCTGGAAACTGCTGGGTAGAGAAATTAACTAAACCCAAAAAGTCTCCAATCCTGATGCCCATTTTCTGGTTTAGAAAAATTTAATCAAAATTCTTCTATCAAAAGAGATAGACTTTCGAGGCCATTCCTTGAAACAAGTGGGTTTTTCGGGTTTTTAGGCCGTCGTTCGGTAGAATTTCTTCTTGACGTTTCGCAAGCACGTGTGGCTTGCATC